TGGACTGCAGGGATGGGGGGGGGGGCAGTTAGGAGGGAGTTGCAGTCATACAGGAGAGGAATGGGGGCGGCTGCAGGGGTGGGAGATGCCCAGGTAACGCGGCATGGTGACATCTGCGGTGTAACCTGGTGTCTCCTTGTTTCTGCAGATAGCCTCTGCCGCCACGTTAGCTGTACCCAGCCCCCAATAACAGATCTAGCTAAGTCGAAGCCCCTTCATTCAGACTATCTCCCTGCCCGGGACACCAAATGCCCAGTGACTTAAGCTGCTACCCATTCAAAAACACCTCAGAGAAATTGGAGCTTATGAATCCAAATCCAAGGTATGTTGGTTTAAGGCCAGTGTGGGACAGCAAGGTTTGGGAGGAGTGGGAAGGTTAACCTGATCACATTAAAAGAGCAGTAACATTTCACTGGTTACATCTACCATGCCCTAAGTATGAATATGAGTTGTTCATCTAAATCATATCGTAGAGCTAGATGCAATGGTTCATGCCTGTAATCCTGACTAGTCAGGAGACATACCTGGAAAATCAGTGTTTGATGTTAGTCTGGGCAATTTGCAAGACACCCTATCAACTAACAAAAAGCTGGATATGTTGGTCTTTTTTTTTTTTTTTGTCGGTCATGGGGCTTGAACTCTGGGCCTGGGCACTGTCCCTCAGCTCTTCAGCTCAAGGCGAGCGCTCTACCACTTGAGCCACAGCGCCACTTCCAAAGCTGGATATGTTGGTACACACCTGTCACCCTAGCTACTCAGGAAAGCCTGGAACAAAAAAAAAAAAAAGAGACCCAATTTGAAAAACAACAAAAGCAAAATGGGTTGGGGATATGGCTCACATGGTAAAGCATCTGTCCAGCAAATTGGAAAACCTGACTTGAAATCTCAGGATGGCAAAAAAACAGAGGCTTTGTAATCTGACAGATAGGCACATGTGGACATATTTTTTTATTTTTTGGTGTGCTGAGAATTGATGCAACTTGTGCTTCATCTCCTTGGTTTTTTGAGAGGCTTCTGCTCTGTAATGTCACTGAAGCTGTCACTGAATTTGGAGTCACCCACCTCAGCTTCCCATTTGCTGAAATTAGAGGCATACAGATGACATGCAACCCCTAGCTCATTATCTCTGAGCCTTCATGAAAGTGCTGTTAAGTGGGATAGTATCTCATTGTTTACCACTTGGGGAGAGCACTAGTCTCTTCAGTTCATTTAAATTCAGGTTCATTTCTTCTTCCATTTCAGGGCTCCTGTGAACATGACCTATTATGACCCCGATGCCCTTAAAGTCAAGCTGGCTGCTCTGACAGCACATTGCTCTGCCAGAGTCTAACAGTTGGCAGAACCTGTGTACACTAGGTACAGACCAGCATCTCCGCCACACACCAGCCGAGTATACAGAACAAGTATTAGGTGACATAGTTTCCTGCCTTGGTTTACCACCCTGACCCCTAAATGTGATGCGCTAGAGAAGACCCCCATGAGCACCAAGTACAAATTGCTGCAGCCGCCTGGAAGTGTGGCATTAGCAGGTTTAGGGACCACAGCATGCAATAAAGAAAAGTAGAGCCTCCTCCATAGCCTTCCACCTAACTGTAGGCCCCTGGCTGCCCAGGACTGTGGCTGCTGCTCTTCCACTTGGGTCCTCGGTCTTCCTCTCCTGCTGAATTCTGGTTCCCAGGCCCTGCACCTGCTCCAACTCTTCCTTCTCTAGCAGCTGTGGCCACTGTGATCACTGTGTGTGCTACTTCCCAACCTCTCCATGCCACCTGCAACTACAATGAATGGGGCCAGGGCTTTCTGGAGAAACTAGAATGCTTTTCATATTCAGCTGTCATTTAGGGAATTGGTTACCATAAAAAGAAGACATCTTCCCCAGTATTGCTTCTGTCCCTCACGTGCAGACTTCAATGACAGGAATGACAAGAAAAGCCACCTTGCTCAGCAAGGTGGTGCAACCTGTAGACCGAGATTCCAGGGAAGGCTGAAGTGGGAGGATCTCCAGAGTCCAGATGTTCAAGATTTGTCATGGCAATGACAGTCCATCTCAAAGTTTAAGGGAGAAAAAAAGGTAGACAGAGACCAGACATTTCTTTTAATTTTTTAATTGTTATTATAAAGGTGATGTCTAGAGAGGTTACATTTATATCAGGTAAAGAGTATGCTTCTTTTTGAACAATGTCAACCCTTTCTCACTCTCACAGTTTTTCTCTGTGCTTAGACACTGTTTCTGAGCTCTTCAGCTCAAGGCTAGAGCTCTACCACTTGAGACATATACTACTTCTATTGGAGATAAAAGCCTCATGGACTTTCCTACCCAGGCTAGCTTTGAACTGCAATCCTCAGATATCAGCCTCCTGAATAGCTAGGATTACAGGTGTGAGCCACAAGTGCCTGGCCCCCAAAATTCTTTTGCTCAAGGCTAGCCCTCTACCACTTGTGTGCTACAGCACCACTCCCAACCTTTTCTGTAGTTAAGTGGAGATAAGAGTCTCACATTTTCCTGCTTGGGCTGGCTTTGAACTGGATCCTCAGATCTCAGCCTCCTGAGTAGCTAGGATTACAGGTGGGAGCTACCAGCACCCACCAGACATTGCTTGTAATGTATATTCCCTGGGTTTTATTTATTCTATGCTCTCCAGGTACCTGTTTTTGTCAATTAAACTACCTTTACAGAGCATATGAGATTTTCATGAAATAAACTTGTTGGAAAGCTTAAGTTGGAGATGGGTAAGTTCTATCTTGAAGACCTTCCTTTAGATAAAAACTTGAGTTTGTATTTCCCAGGGGTCATTTCACAGGTGTATGATCTTAAAATTTTTTCCTCACTCCCTTCCCTGTGCCTCATTGTCTATGTGTAAAGTGGGTTCTTACCACACTGTTGTAAAGACTAAGGGAGAAAATGCATCTGACAAAGCATTAATTTGTATTACAATGTTTAGGGGTAGACTAAATGGCTCATCCCTATAATCCCTGTTCCTGAGGAGGCAGATTGAGAGGACCACAGTTTGAGACTGGTCCCACACAAAAACTTGAGAGCCCCACCTGAGAAAGAACTAAAGGAAAAGCAGCTGGGAGTGTGACTCAAGTGGAAGCAGTTCCTGTCTTTTCTTTGGCATATTTGAATAGCTATCATAACCACTTCTGCACCTTGGGGCCATTATTAAATGAACACTAAGATACACGAGCAGTGGCATCACCTGACCAGAAGGAGGCTACTGAGACACTAATGGGTGGGTTTCTTCTGTGTGGATCCACTGGACAAAGGAATGAACTGTACTCCATGCAAGAGGAACTGGAGAGTGTGAGATTTCCCTATTGTACCTGCAAGAGCATACAATTTGGAAGATCAAACTGTTTGCCTCTGGACCTGTCCAACTGGGATATTTTCAGATCACAGTTGACTTCGGTAACTGAAACATTGATAAATAAAACCACAGATATGTGGGGGAGGGGAGGGTTACTGCTGTTATATGAAAGCAGGCACTGGTCAATCATCTTGGGAGTATGACGGGTGAAAAGAGGAGCAGGGGTTAGAGGAAGAGGCTAGCAGGGAGGGAAGAATAGGGGTAAAGGAGATGGGAAAGGAGGAAGGATGGGTGAAAAAAGAAAAGGAGAAGGGAAAAGGAGGGATAGGGAAGGAGCAGGAAGAGAGGGAGGAGGGAGGAGGAGGTGAAAGAGTAGGAAGAGGAGAAGATGGCTTTGAGTCATCTGTGGAAAATCTTATGTGTCTGCCTTTGAGATATAGCCTGGTTCTTCTTCAAATTCCCGTACAAGCTCTGCCCTGGTACCCACCATGGGGTGGTAGGACAGAACCAGGCACACATGTGGATGGGCACATGTGCAAACACGTGCAAACACACACACACACACACACACACACACACACACACACACACACACACACACACACACGAAAATCTAAAGAAGGAAGAAGGAAAATGCAAAAGAGAAGAGGATAGACCACCTAGGACAGATGAGCAGAGGAAAAAAAAATACTGTTTTTGTAGTTTGTCATGGGGCTTGAACTCTGGGCCTGGGCACTGCCCCTGAACAATTCAACTTAAGGCTAGCACTCTATCACTTGAGCTACAGCGCCACTTCCGGCTTTTTCTGCTTTTGTGGTGCTGAGGAACTGAACCCAGGGCTTCATGCATGTAAGCCAAGCACTCCACCACTGAGCAGCCACCTTCCCTGCCCAGGAAAATTTTTAGAGATAATTGAGTGTTACCTTGATTGTTTTCATTTTTGTTTTTGTTTCTGTTTTGTCAGTCCTGGGGCTTGAACTCATGGCCTGAGCCCTGTCCCTGGGCCTCTTTGTGCTCAAGACTTGTGTTCTATCACTTGAGCCACAGTGCCACTTTTGTTTTTTTAATAATTTACTGTACGTAAGAGTTTCACGAGCTGGGAATGTGGCTTAGTGATAGAATGCTTGCCTAGCATGCAAGCACGAAGCCCTAGATTCAATTACTCATTACCACATAAGAAAAAGCCAAAAACAGTGCTGTGGCTCAAGTGGTAGGGGACTAGCTCTGTCCCTGACTAGCTCAGGGACAGTGTCTAGGTCCTGAATTCAAGCCCCGAGACTGGCAAAAAAAATTTTTTTTTTTAAAGTGTCTCATGGACTTTTCTGCTCCAGCTGGCTTCTAACTGCAATCCTCAGATCTCAGTCTCCTGAGTAGCTAGGATGACAGACCTGAGCCACTGGTTCCTGACCTAACTGTGGATTTATAACAGGCATATTCAAGGCTCAAAGCTCATCGAATTATACACATAAGGGTGTACAGCTTTTGGGGTTTCAACTGACCTCCAAAAGAATGAACGAAGGAAAACAAATATGAAACTAAGTCTCCAAGTCCAGAATCACCAAAGGACAAAGACAAAAGAGGGAGAGGAGAGGAGGAAAGTAAGCACTAAAGTCAGTGCTGCCCTCTTTTCTATTTACAGCACAGAATAGAAATTCCATGAAAGTACACGAAAGTAAGTATATTACAGGTATCCCATAGTATAGATACTGTATTTTATAAAATATATTACATGTAAGTGTATATTTATTATATAATGAATTATACATGTACTTTTAACAGTGATATGGTTTGATCTCAGTAGAGCTAAGAGGAACAAATCTTTGCCATGAGCACTGGCATTTGAGCTCTGCTTCCTGGCTACCATGCTGTGAGGGGCTCTCCTGTCACATACTCTCTGTGGCCTTGACACAAACACCAGAAACCGTGAGCCTCAATGACATTTTCCTTGCCTTAAGTTATGTATGGCAGCTTGGCAGAGCCACCACAGAGCCAACACAAACACATCTAAGTATTCTCTCCTGCTCCTCAGGAATGCTTTACATACTTTGGAGAGAAATGTACTAAAACTTATATAAGAACTTTTCAATTTCCAGTCCTTAGGACATGGTAAAGATTTCTTTGGCAATTCTTCCTAGAAACCCCAAGTGCTTCCTTCCGCTGCCATCTCCTCGACAGCTCCTCTTGTGCCTCATCCCTTTCAGTCCAAGGTGCTGAGCTGAACTCTGCACTGTGGTGCAGAAGACAGCCTAACTCACCCGGGACATGATCTGAAGCACTTGAGGATGGAAGTGGAGTTGAAGACAAGACCTCCAGAGTCGGATCTACCCTCTGACCAGAGACAGACCATCCTTCAGTTAATCCTAACCCTTCTGACAGCCACAGATACCTCATAACCCATAAGCCTTATGAATTGTTTCCTCAGATGTAGCTATTCTCACTGACACACAGGGCAGCAACAGAAAACTACCAGCGAGCACATGGCTCAGCCCCAGTCACCTGTGACACCGTCTGTCCTCCAGCCCCACCCACAGCAGCATAGAGGTGGTGCATAGAGAGTCACGATGCACATTGATGGTCAGACTGTTTGCAAAATTCAATTGCCTCAGATCCAAGAGCAAGAGCCAAGGCACAGGCCACAGCTCATTTCTTGGATATTGAATTTGCTTTTGGCATTAGAATTAAGACCAAGGAAAAGGGCTTGGACCCACCCAAAGGGCAGAGAGCATTGCCTTTGGCAATGGAGCACAATGGGCAAGGAGCAGAAGGCCAAGCCACCACCAGCCAGCCATCCAGATCCACAGGGCCAGCTCCCACTGACATCTAGGAGGTGACCCTAGGCAAACTTTCTTTTGCCAGGTTTCACTGGCACTCCACTGCTGTGGGCAGAAAACATCTCAGGGGATCCGGTGGCTTTCCAGAACGAAGACTTTTTGAGCAGCCCTTCCTGGCGGTTAGACATCAGCCAATATCTGGCATCCTAGGCCCTCATACAGGGAACGATGGGAGTCCGGCAAAAAAATCCATGGGGGCTCCAATTTATGTGACTAAGGAGTGCAGTATGCGCAGACCCTCGTGGCTTATGGACACCAGCCAGTGTGCCCTTAGCGTGTACTACGGACCTCCAAGAAAATCTTCTCTATTTTGTCACTGAGGATCAGGCTGGGCACAGAACCTCTGAGTTTAGTGACTGGCAAATGTCCAGCCCTGGCCCAGTGTCTCCTCAGTGGAGGACAGAGGCCCTAAAAAAATCATCCCTTGCCTTTTTGACAGAAGATGGACACCTTCACACATCCTCCTGGCTAGAGAACACTGACAAGTACACCACCATCGCAGGGCCCCAAATGCAGAGGGGTGGAACGCGCAGAAAACCATCTATAGGGGCTCCTGTTTCGGGCACTCCCGGGGATCATCCTCGAAGACCCCCAGTGGTTGCTTTTGAAGATCTAATCCCGCATACCCATGGAGTGGACAGGAAAAAAATCCCACGGGGCTGCTCTGTTGGCCACCTTTAGGGAGGCCACCTAGGAGGAACATCCCCGAAGACTGTCCCAGGTCAATGATGAAGGTCGTCACCCCGGAGGAACATCCCCGAAGACCACTGAGGTTTGTGGTAAAGTCCTGAGTGCGCTTTGAGAGGACAGAGCACCCCAAAGATCCCTTGGGGCTGTTCTATCAGCCACCCCAGAGGAACATCCTTGAAGCCCATCTGAGATTTCTGACAAAGTCCTGAGTGAGTGTGGCGTGGACAGAGAACTCCAAAGATCCCTTAGGGCTGTTCTATCAGCCACCCCAAATGAACATCGTTGAAGACCATCTGAGGTTTCTGGCAAAGTCCTGAGTGCACGTAGAATGGACAGAGCACCCAAAGATCCCTTGGGGCTGCTCTGTTGGCCACCCCAGAGGAACATCCACGCTGACCCACTCGGTTGATGATGAAGGTCAGTTCACCCCGGAAGATCATCCGCCAGACCCTCTGCAGTTGCTGATGAAGATCAAGTCACCCCAGAGGAATACCCCACAGACCCTCCACACTTGCTGGTGAGGTCAGGTCACCCCAGAGAATCATCCTCAGTTGATGATGAAGGTCAGGTCACCCAGAGGAACATCTGTGCAGAACCTCCACAGGTTTTGATATATACCAGTGTGCACTGCTTCCCATGTAGGGACTGAAACACCAACTGGGGCTCCTGCGCTGGCCGCCAAGAAGCATCATCTGCAGAGTATCCTGGGTTGGTGATATCCAGTCCCCCTAAGTCCACACGGAGAGGATGCAGCAGCCCAAAAACCATCCATGGGGGCTCCTGTTGTGGCCACTCAGGAGATTCATCCACCAAGATCCTTCTGGATTTCAGGCCACGGAAGGACCTAGTGTACCACCTCCTCTGAGGCAGCAGCCAGATTCAGCACAAGTCCCCCTCTTTGAGGAGCAACCCCTCAGCTCCTCAGGGAGCAGAGATGAAGACAGCATTACCACCATGGACACCCAGTCATCACCTGTATCCCCTATACCTTTAATTGAAAGCAGAGGCATTTGGAACCTGGCTGCCAGGAAATATTCAGCAAAGAGACTAAAACAATCAAGGGCAAGGTGTCCTCAGAGGTCCCCAAGACAATGCAATCTGACCCAATCCCCGCAGAGGCTCCAGACCTCCTGCCACCAGGCATAAGGCCACAATGAAGGAAAATCCACTGCTCCTGGCCCACTCACACACCAAGACAGGAAAAACAGCGCAAGACGTCCCTAAGGCCTACCAGTGCCACTACACAAATCAAGAAGGGACAAGATTCAAATGTCCTACTAACAAAAACACCTGCCAGCTCTCTAACTGTTAAGGGTAAATCTGTTGGAAACACTTCCACATCAGCAGCAGATGATGTTCAATTGGACCAGTCCTCCCAAAGATCACTTAGAGGATGTCCTTTGACATGAGCCCCAAAAGAGCTGAGCAACAAGCCACTGAACACCTGGCTGACAGGGTTGCAGCCAAGAGGCTGAAACCCAGCAAGGCTGCTTCCCCCACCAAGATTGGAGCCGAGCTCTCAAACCTCTGAACAGCAAAAGGAGGTACCTTCATAACCCAGGCTGCCCAAGCTACTTGGGAAGTAGAGGATTTAAAGCAAGACAGGACCACCTGCTCAGGAAGAGCACACAAGAAACTGAGAGCTCTCAGTCAGCTGAGGCTATATCTGCTGATATCCAGGCTGCTGGAACTCATTCACCAGCCTAGGACACTACAGTGGACAAGGCCACTGGGAGCACCAAGATCCTGGATTGAAAGCTAGCCCCACAAAGTTAGCAGGCAAACCCACTGGCCTTCTACCTCCTCGGGCTAAGGAATTAGCCCCACTCACTGTCCTCAGTGAACACAAATAAACATAAATATAGTATTGGAAGTCCCCAGGGATAAGTCAATATAATCTGAAATCTAAAGAACCTACACTACCCCACCATAACTCAACAACCAAATGTGTACTTCAAACCCTGCACACTACTTACCATGTTTATTTAAGCCAGAGAATTGGAACAGATTAAAGCACATGAGCGTGATCTTAATATTACAGGCATTAGTATTAATGCCCCAATGGAGAAATCACAACAACAATGAGACCTTGAGTAAAACCTCAAGATGAAACTAAACCAAGAGAAAAACCACAAGATGTGAGGAATTCTAGAGCAGTTACAAGAACTAAATCTCGATGCAGTCTCAGTGGGTGCCAGCCCCTCTCCCCAGTCCACACTCCTCCATCTCAAGTGAACAACTGAATCCCTATGAGCAGGTGTATTCTAAGGACTTCCTTATTGAGTACCCACAAATCAGACCGAGTCACCAAACCAAAAAGTCACCTATCAAGTCTGCAAACCACACAAATTTTCTCAACTGAAAGACGATTTGCAGCAGAAGAGATTGGATGCACTAAGGAAAATATCTGTGCTGGAAAAAGAACTACTTCAAAACCAGCTGCAACTAAACAAGAAGCAGCTATGAAGACATTTTACTACAAGTATAACACATCCTTGCTGGAACATTCATTCAGTCACAAGTAATGAGCCATATCGAAAAAATTCCGATCAGCCAACAAAAGATTTTCTATAACATGAAATGACAGAGGAAAAGAAAAAGAATTGTAACATATAGATATAAGACAGACACATAATTTAAAGAACTGTTAAAAATTATTAAAGTTTATAGCTGAAGATAACCAGGTTTTCCCCACTTCATTACACATGAGAAATGACCGCACAGACATACCCAGGGATGTGCTTTCCTAGTCTCCTAGCCCCTTCTCAATCTAATCAACTTAGCCTGATTAAACGTCACAGCCCACGTTCTGTCAACTGTGTAGCCAAACACATCTCATCTAAATGGAGGAGATATCTATACCTGACCCACAAAAGCTCATGTTTATCGCAACGCAGAAAGTATTCAGTTCCTAATCAAGAGTCCATATAGTTTCACAGTTCCAGTATTGCTCAAAAATTCAAGTCCAAATTTCTTCTGAGACTCAGGACAAACTCTTAGTTTTGAGGCCCTGAAAAACAAAAATCAAAAAGTAAGTTATACATTTCTTTTTCTTTTGTTAGTGTGGGGCTTGAACTCTGGGCCTGGGCACTGTCCCTTCAGCTCTTCAGCTCAAGGTTAGCACTCTACCACTTGAACCATAGAGCCATTCCGGGTTTTTCTGCTTATGTGGTGCTGAGGAATCGAACCCAGGGCTTCATGCATGCAAGGCAAGTATTCTACCACTGGGCCACCTTCCCAGCCCAGTTATATATTTCCAATGTGTACAAATACATGATGTGTACAAATATACATCATGAAAATTACCATCACCAAAGTGCTGAGTTATGATATAGGAAGAATGGAACCAAAACAAGACTTAGATAATGGCAGTAGGATCATTAAATACAATGGCTATGTAACCATCATCCAGAGTCTATGGTAACCTCATGTAAGTCCCAAGAGTTCGGGGCAGCTCTGTTCCCAAGCGCACCAGGTACAGCCTGTGTTTTCTTTTCCTTTAGCCTATACTACTCCTTGTCTGTGGCTCTCCTTGACTGATACTAATTTCCTGCATTCTCCATTATATCTTCAAGGTGAAATCTATGTGGAAGCCTTTGTGTCCTAACTGTTCCATTGCAAATGCCAGCATGGCTAGCAATGTGGCACCAATGCCAAGATCTGCTGCAGTTCAAGCAGTAGCTGGGTTCTAAAAGATCATGGCTTTAGCTGTCCCTGAATACCTGGATGGCCAACCAAGGGAAATACTTCCCTAGCCGCCTTCATGAACAGACACCAGAGTACGTACGCATGTGCTCCCCCACCCCTGCCCCTTTCTCTCTCTCTCAGATGTCCTTTTCTCTTTATGCCAGCCCTGGGGCTTGAACTCAGGGCCTGGGCACTGTCCCTGACCTTCTTTTGCTCAAGACTAGCACTCTACCACTTGAGCCACAGCACCACTTCAGGCTTTTTCTATTTATGTGGTACTGAGGAATTGAACGTAGGGCTTCATGCATGCTAGGCATGCACTTTACCACTAAGCCACATTACCAGCCAGCATGTTCTTATCAATGAATTCAACCATTTCAGGCTTGAGCTTGCCTATGGGTGCATTCTACACATTCATAACATTCCCTTAATCTCTTTCTTTCCTATTGTCCTGATGAAGAGTACCTGTTCTCCTCCCCCTCCTCCACCGCCTCCTCCTTTTTCGCTAGTCCTGGAACTTGAAATCAGGGTCTGGGGCACTGTCGGTACAGAAGAATTGAACTCAGAACTTCATGCATGCTAGACAAGCACTCTATCACTAAGCCACATCCCAGCCCTTGGTTTCTTTTTAATTAATCTCTCAATTGCCACTATTACTTGGTCCCAGTTTTGTATATGTGCCTTTTTTTTTTCATCTTACAATATTCATTTTTATATATATATGACTAAAGTACCTGGTAATAGACATGCCACAGCCCCCCATGCTGATTTGTCTTAACATTTCCTCTGTCCTATCAACTAGTCTAGCATCTCTATATTTACCCTCACTCACATGGAGTTTCAGGACATAGACAAAATAGTAACAAGCTCTGTACTAGAGTATAACACATATGGCTTTGAATCCAATTCCCAAGAGGCCGCATTCCTCCTAGGAGACATCATACCAACTCTTTACTGTCTACGTCCCCCAGCAGCATTGTGCTCCTGGGTACCCAATAGAATTCTCCATTAAGCTGTACTTACAGCATTTCAAGCCTTTCCTAGACAGTATCCAAAACATTTCCAAATTCTTCCCACCATATATTTGCAGAGACTTCAAATCACATCATCAGGAATAGCAAAATGTTCACTCGCAGTACCAATTTGGTATGTCAATAACTTCTGTCACTGTAACAAATACATAAAAAAGGCATTTATTTATTCATTTATTTACGTTTTGCCAGTCCTGGGGCTTGAACTAAGGGCCTGGGCCCTGTCTCTGAACTTCTTTTGCTCAAGGCTAGTACTCTACCACTTGAGCCACAGCACCACTTCAGGCTTTTTCTATTTATGTGGGACTGAGTAATTAAACCCAGGGCTTCATGCATGCTAGGCAAGCCCTCTACCAGTAAGCCACATTCCAAGCCCTGCATTTTTATTTTTAGCTCATGGTGGCAGAACGGACTTCTTTGTTCTAATCCCATGAGGAGTCAGAACCTCATAGCAGAGAGGCCTCTGGATGAGGCTACTTACCTCAGGGAGGCCAGAAGAGAAAAGTAAGAGAGATGTAGAGGGGAAAGGAAAAGGGAGAGGAAGCCAGGTAAGAGATTTGCCAGGCATGTGCAAAACCCTTGGTTTGATCCCCAGTGCTCAACAATAATAACAACAACAACAACACAGCTCTTAAATGTTGTGGGTTTATTTCTTGTTCCATGAACTCCATACTGCAGGCCTGAAAGAAAATAATGCATTGGATTTCAAGTCCCTAGAGGATTTGTAATTCTTACTGCACAATCATAAATGGGTTTTTTATCTTCTATATTTGTCTGTGACCTCAGTTAACAGGAATCTGCCTTTAATTGAACAATATATGTCCTGAAGTCTCTGAGTCAAGCAATTTATACTTCGCTTTAGAGAATTTTAAGTTGTCCCCATGGGGGTTTTAGGATACTGCCAGTCTCTTTAACTCCACTATGGCCCATGACAAATTCATCTTTTCTAGTCACAGTACACAAATGGCACCATCAGTCATATCTAATTTAGAGAAAAAAATGTTCACACACACAGTCCTAAAGCCTTAAAATAAGGGGGAAAAACCCCAATGTGAAATGAAGGAGAAAGCAGAAGTATAATAATCCATGTCCTCACAAACCATCTTCTGATTGTCAGCTGTCTTCTAATGTGTTGTGTTTTCCCTGTCCTGATGAAACTCAGAACTAGATGATCCCCTGAGAAAATGCTACTTCTAATTCAGTGACACTTATTTTTATCTTTTTCTGAAATTTTAAAGCAGTACCGAAAGACTTTTGTACTATGAGTAGCAGGTAAGTCCTCACTCAACACTTAAAAATCTTTATTGTGAGCTGGGCGCCAGTGGCTCACGCCTGTAATCCTAGCCAGTGGCTCACGCCTGTAATCCTAGCTACTTGGGAAGCTGAGATCTCAGGATCCCGGTTCAAAGCCGGCCCAGGCAGGAAAGTCCTGAGACTCTATCTCCAATAAACCACTCAGAAAACCGAAAGTGGCTCTGTGGCTCAAGTGGTAGAGCACTAGCCTTGAGCTAAGGGACAGCGCCCAAGCCCAGAGTTCAAGCCCCACCACCACCAAAAAAAAAAAGGGGGGGGGGGCTAGGAAGGTGACTTAGTGGTAGAGCACTTGCCTTGCATGCATGAGGCCCTGGGTTCCATTCCTCAGCACCACATAAGCAAAAAGAAAACAGCCGGAAGTGGCGCTGTGGCTCAAGTGGTAGAGCGCTAACCTTGAGCTGAAGAGCTGAGGGACAGCGCTCAGGCATAGAGTTCAGGCCCCACGACCGGACCCAAAAAAAAAACAACAAAAAACAAAAAACTCATTGGACAGGCGATAGTGGCTCATGTCTATAATCCCAGCTAATCAGGAGGCTGAGATCTGAGGATCACCATTCAAAGCCAGCCCAGACAGGAAACTCCATGAGACTCTTATCTCCATTAAACCACTCAGAAAAACTGAAGTGGCGCAGTGGCTCAAGAGGTAGAGAGCTAGCCCATACAACGGACAAGGGTCTCATATCTAAAATATACTTGGATCTCAAAAAATTAAATCCCCCAACAACAAATAATCAAAGAAACAACAAAACAAACAAGTGCTCAATAAACAAGTGGGCGAAAGACTTAAAGAGAAACTTCTCCGAAGAAAGAAGGACGGCCAATAGACACATGAAGAAATGCTCAACATCTCTAGCCATAAAAGAAATGCAAATCAAAACAACATTGAGATACCACCTCACTCCAGTTACAATGGCAAAAATCAAGAACTCTAACAACAACAGATGCTGGAGGGGATGTGGACAGAAGGGCACCTTACTTCATTGTTGGTGGGAATGTAAACTTGTTCAACCACTTTGGAAAGCAGTATGGAGGTTTCTCAAAAGACTACATAGAGCTCCCCTATGACCCAGCAATCCCACTTCTGGACATTTACCCAAATGTTTACAAACAAGACCACACTAAAGCTACCAGCACAACTATGTTTATTGCAGCATTATTTACCATAGCTAAGATAGGAAACCAACCCAGATGCCCCTCAGTAGATGAATGGATCAAGAAAATGTAGTATATATATACAATGGAATTCTATGCCTCCATCAGAAAGAATGACATTACCCCATTTGTTAGGAAATGGAAAAACTTGGAACAAATTATATTAAGTGAAGTAAGCCAGGCCCAAAGAAACATAGGCCCCATGGTTTCCCTTATTTGCAATATCTAGTATATGTATGAGTCAAGCGGAAAAGGTCAGATAATGTGATGTTAGGAAAATGAACCCTTAAGATATGTATTTTAATGTTTTTTTCTTTCATGCATGTGTTTCTAACGCATTTATAAGATTATTTCTTTGTTGCTTTGTATGTCCCTCCCCCACAGTATAACCCCTGCTTTCACTATATTTGATGTCAGTATAACTTGTGGAGGAGATGGGGAAAAACAAGTCGTTTAAGGATACAGGTGGACCTGTTGCAACAATGAGAAGTACAAGGTCATGTCGAAAATGAGTTTTACAATGTTGGTGGGGGGGCGGGGGGGGGGAGGAGAAGGATTGGGATTGGGGGGGGAGGGGGGAGGCTGGGAAGGGATGAGAGGGGTAAACAAAGGAGGAGGCTGCAATGCTTGGTAAGAAATGTACGCATTATCCTGCCCATGTAATTGTAACCCCTCTGTACAGTATGTTCACAAATAAAATTAAATTAAAAAAAAAAAAAAGAGGTAGAGAGCTAGCCTTCAGCTGAAGAACTGAGGGACAGCACCCAGGCCCAGAGTTCAGGACCCATGACCGACCAAAAAAAAAAAAAAAAAAAAATATTTATTGTGGTTGATGCTTTGGAATTATATAGAAGAATCAAATAGAAGATTTATGGCATTAGCAGATAAATATAAATATCTTCCCATCATTAATGTGATTCTGTAAGAATAAATGGCATTTAAAAAACGTCCAAGTGTACTAATTTATTGAACTTAAAATGTAACATCAATACGTCAACAATATGTGGCCTATTCTTAACACAGTCTCACAGTATTTCTTACATAACTTTCCCATTTCTGCGCAACCCATGCCCTTACATCCTTCTGGATCACCATCTACTACTCTGCTGCCAGGTGGAATCTTCTAGTTCAATCTCCCCTGGCTGTGAGCTTGTGGCTCACGGTCTGTCCAGTTGCTCACTCCTGGACTCTACATAGCCTTCTTTCTCTCTGCCTTCTAGTTTTGGTTCAAAGAGTATCTTCTCAGAAATCCTTCCTTTCCTTCAACCTTACCATTATCCTTTTATTACTGTTCTTTATTTGACCCAATTTGTGGCTTTGAGCCATAACATTTTCCTAACATGTCATACCTCTTTTGTCCTATGCCATATATCATTATCTGTTATTAGTGCTTCCTGAAGGCGCGTATGTTCCGTGGAAATGAGAACTTTGCTTTTGATCACATAGCCAATTACCCTGCACCTACTCTATGGCCTAACATATCAGGCACTCCATAAATATCTGTTATCTTACTACTGCTATTTGTGGTACACATTCTGTCTAGAATAATTCTCTCTTTACTCCTTCCTTCTCATGACTTTACTTCCTTTATCATTTAGTAAGTAGAATTCCTGATATGGCCCATAAGTACCAAATTTTCAATGAGATGTTTCCTCTTGTTGAAGTAATAATATATATATATATTTTTTTTTTTTTTTTTGCTAGTCCTAGGGCTTGAACTTAAGTCCAGAGCATTGACCCTGAGGTGTTTGGTTTTTGGCTTTTTTTTCCCCCCTCAAGGCTACCATTCTACCACTTGAGCCACAGTGCCACTTCCAGCTTTTTCTGTTTATGTGTACTAAGGAATCGAACCCAGGGCTTGATGCAAGCTAGGCAGGCATTCTATCACTAAGCCCCATTCCCAGTCCTGAAATAATTTTTTTTTCTCTCCTCACAATCCTTTATTTTTCTTAAAATACGTTATTTATTGTAAAATTACTGTACAAAGGGGTTACAGTTACATAAATAAGGTAATGAGTACATTCCCTATTGAGCATTTTTACCTCCTCCTTTGTTTTTCCCTACCATTCCTTCCCTTCCCACCTCCCTAACTCCTCCCCCCTCCCCCCAACAAGTTACAAAGTTCATTTTCAAAAAAATGTCTTGTATATCTCATTGTTACACTGGGTCAACCTGTATCCCTATTTAAGCATTTTGTTTTTTACCTTCCCCTCCCCAAATTAGAAAGTGTATATACAAGATTCAGTACACCGGAATCAAATACAGTGAAAAAGGGGTTATACCATGGGGAAAGAACATTCAAAAGAAACAAAAAAAATCACATATTACATTATAAGTACTTTAAGAACAATAGCAAGAAAGAAAAAACCACTTATGATCCTGTGTTGGGGTTCATTTCACTTAACACCATCTTATACGGTTATATGTACACAGCTTTTGACCTTTTCTGCTTGTCCTAGACGTATACTAGTTATTGCAAATAAGGGAAACCATGGGACAGATGTTTCTTTGGGCTTGGCTTACTTCACCTAATATTTTTTTCAAGTCTTTCCATTTCCTAGCAAATGGAGCTGATGGAGGCATAGAATTCAATTGTGTGTGTGTGTGTGTGTGTCACATTTTCTTGATCCATTCATCTACTAAGGGACATCTGGGTTGGTTCCCTACCTT